GTAATTTTTCTTTCATCCATGTTACCAAAGTAGTGCATCCTATTTCAAGCCAATAATAGACCGACTAAAGCAACGATGTCAGAAATGTAAATAGAGTCGTCTATGTAGACACAACTGCATGCAAATAATATCAAAACGATAATATTATTCAAATATTTGTAAAAATAATAAAAATAAAACGGTTAGACGAATCGGTATCGTTTTACGAATATAATAATCATATTAAATAAAACTATTATTTAAATATAATTAGGTGCCAGTGCTATTATATATACAGGTATATGATTGTTGATTATTAGGTACTATTAAAATCATCATATAAAGTAAATATTATAATATTTCGTAATTTCTTAATTATTATTATAATGACGAAATAAAGCTTCTTTTTGTTTTCGTCAAGTTAAAATTTAAGCTATATTGTAGTAAACAAAGTCTACAGCCAGTATATACAATATTTAGTGCGATTACTCAACACAAAACGAAGAAACGTCATGGCTGTCGTTTAAGGTCGTTCGCTACATTATCGTATGTTAAAATCACACTAGAATATTATTTTGATGTTGCAACATAGAAACGAATGTTGTTAGCCAAAATAAATGTATAACGATATAATTTAGAAATGACTTTATATTAAATCGCCTGTGCGGGAGTTTCGTCATGGCTTAATAATTCTTCTTCTCTAGTTTCTAGGACTCTATAAAGACCATCCCATCTAACACTCCACTATTTCTTTTTTATTTATTGCTTTTTCTTTCCGAATTTAACATTCAAAATATCCCAAATAATTTAAAGCCTTTTTTTGATACATCTCGTTCTGAATTTTTCCATATAACGTTCTTTTTCCCACACGGATTCAGTTCCTTTACCGCTTTCATTAGCTCGATTAGGACTCGAAATCTACAAGTCTTTTCCATCAGATGTATTATTATCCCCAGTATATTTTTAGTATTTTGGAATAACGCCTCTAGGTCTGCATTCTCCCTCCATCTTCACTATCCACTTCATCCTTGGTTGGCCAGACGATTTACCGCGAAATTTGTCTTTCTATTCGTATTTTTGTAATATTAAGAACTTTCGTCGTCTAATTTTCGTGCAAATAAAGCTTCGTGACTTATCAATTATATAAATAATAATCGTACATAATTTCATAAGTTACAATCACCTACTGATATAAGTACCATTCATTTTAAATTAAAATATTATATTTACACCGATATAAAATTTAAAGGTTATTTTCTTATAGATAAATCTATGATGCGATTATTTAAGTGGCTATATATTATAGTAAAAATAGAAATATCGATATCAACTAGGTATATAGATTCTATAATAATGACACTTACAATTTCCATCATTTACAAGACGCATTTGCAATCTAACAATTTAGTATTTATACTGCGAGTATTAAATAACTAAGAAAATGATTTTTTTTTTATAATATCCTGACCGAAAAACTATAACGATAAATTAAAACAAAAAAAACTAATAAAACACCTGCATTGTTGTATTTTTCGATAGACTTGCATATGTGTACAAATATATATGTATAGGTTAACCTAAACGCTAAACGTTCTATTACGTCTAAAAAAAAAAAATAAATAAATTATGAATAAAATCGACAAAAAACCAATTTCAGTTCTATATTATTATTATCGGGTATATGCGTATAATAATATATATATGTGTGTGTTTTTCAGACGTTATTTACCAAAAAGGTACCTGACCTAACCTAGATTTATTATGTACCTACACACAGTATTTATTGACATGTGTGGGTACACCTTTTCTTTTTTTTTATTTATCGACCCCCTTTAAAACGTATAATAACGTGAAGAGCTGTATTATCTGTAGACGACGAGTTTGCAGTGAAGAATCCTTTTGTGATCGACCGCTATACATTCGAATTCTATCGTTAAAGAAAAATATAACAAAATATGTTTACCATAAATTTAACTGATTGTTAAAAAAAAAACACATCATAGCAAGACCAAAAAATCTCGCTACACTCAATATCTAAAATTCCATCGGGCATTCAATACGGCATTAAGCAATTTACTGTTGTCTAAGTTCATAAGCACTATCTATGTGTATTGGGTAGAAATTTAACTTGATTTTCGTAAGACGATCTTCGATAAAAAAAAATTAATTCGATTTCTGATTTCTCCATTTCGATTTCCGGACTGTGGGTGTTTGGTTAAATGAGCCAAGTTCGATTGTCCAGACAGTTCGCAACGTCGTCGCTAATTTCTGCGTGTTATTCGGTTCTATACATCCCACGGGCGACAAATTATAAACACCTACGACCTACTGAAAAAAAAAAAACCCCCAAACTAATCATAAACAGCCACAATTGAATGTTCGTATTCTGCACGAGTTCATCGCTGTACTATACGTTATGCGTTTAAAACGTATTTCATAGGTAACTAATATAGCTACGTTACGTCAATGTAAAATTGTACATAAAATATTATAACGACGCACGTGCACAAAGCAAAAAAAAAAAAATAAAAATATATGCGCGTACGGAATACACGAATAATTACATAAAACACGATTTTGTAGCCGTTTCGGCCAATAATAATTATATGTATCTACTGCAGTTGTCAGTTGATAATAATAATAATAATGATGATGATAATATTCTGCGTGAATGTTCGCTCGCGCGATTTAGGTTCGCGTGTTTCAATACTTAATCACGCACAATAACATCGCGCTGTCAAATTGATTAGATACAGGTATTGGTTTCTTATACCGATGCGTATTATAAATCACTAATCGTTTTGCGCAGATTTTTAGTGATCGTATTTTCGAGCAACAATATAATATTATGTTCGCTCCGGTTTATCGTATTGTCGGATAATAAAAAAATTATACTAGATCAAGGGATACTTAATACATTAATACGGTGGTGTGTATTTTTTCCCGCAACCAGTGAGGTTTCGACCGAAACGTTCGATTCAGTCGCGGTCACGAATTGAAAACGTTTTCAATGTTTACGTAACAATATTGTTATTACAGAATATCGTTCGACAATAGCTGATGGTAATTGATTATTGATACGCGGTAACCTGTATAATATTATTACGCGTTATCTCGAATACGTAATATTCTTTTCGATTGATTTATATGACCGCACGAACTGCATCATCATCAGCTATAATAAAACAATTTGTCCGTCTGCTACATCGCACATATAGTACTATTTCGACGCTCGGCGTACATTAGAATTATAATTAAAATAAATGAATATAAACTCAAACGCGTTTTTACACTGTAATACACACTATATAAAACCTATAAGGGTCGGGGGAAAAAAAAATGTTAATTTGTTCGTATATTTTAAATGTAACTATGTGCTCCGTGAGTGTAAAAACGGTGTCTCAAGAACAGTGAGAGTAGCGGCGGTTTCCCACACCCTTATACAATACAATCAACCCCATGCTGGTATACGAATGATAAAAAAAAAATGACGATAATTACATTTACCGCCGATTTATATACGATTTAAGTCTGCCGCAGTCGTTGTGTTTGGTGTATTAAAAGACAAACGGCTGCTGCAATGAATATTAAAAAGTATAATTTAATATTAAATATAAAAATGAAATTCCTTCTACCCAATCAATTATTAGGTGTACCTTTAGAACGCCGCGCACACTCGCACGTTAATATTATTTAATCATTTCGGGGTTTTTTTTTTTTTTTTCAATAGACAGCTAATAATAATAACGTACTAAAACCGACTTAACATTTTACGTTTTCGTCGAAATACGTAGTTTACAAAAATTGTATACGTACCCTACCTAACTGTCCGATCGCATCGCAACAATATTATAATATTACATGCGGTATAATTTCGCAAATATTTATACATATTTACGAAATCGTTTTGAAATCATTACACGTAATGTGTATCTAACAATTTCCAAGTTTGTCAAATTCTGCACCCAATATATTAAATTGTTATAATTTATAATAAATAAGCGTCGCACAGTGGGAGGAATTAAACTTCTAGCCGGCCAAAAGTAGAAAATTTAAGTATTGTAATTATATATTATTATCATTAATATTTGTTTACATATACCTGACGATGATAAATATATCACATTATATAATAATCATTAAGTACTGAGCAGATAGGAACAGATAAGGCGCATTCAAACTGTTGAATTTAATGCAAGCACTTGCCGTTATAATCTTATTTTGTATTACAAATATTTCAGCTATTGAAGCGTAAAGATGATTTTTTTTGTTTTTCCACTAAAACTGACCATCATATAGTACCGAGTAAGTATTTTGAATTGTATTAATATTAATTATTCAAATAGACATATATATCGTGTAATTATGAAAATTCTACTTTATTTACATATAATGGAGTAAAACTATTTCTAGGGGGCTCTTGGGGGTTACCACTATTATTTTTTTTTTACATAATTATGTGTACTAAATAATAGTATATCGGATATTTGCACGAATTTGCCTATTTTTTAATTACGAAGCTTTTTCTGTAGGACACTGACATGGAAAAAAAAAAATTAAAAATCGAAATTTATTTGAAGTTTTAAAATATATGGAATGTGGTTTCAATTTTTAGAGTACACTTAGCATATTGATAATAAATTAGAATCGGCTCCTACTACTAAAAGAATAACTGATGAAAAAAAAATTCTAATTTCTGAAAAACAGAAAGAAATTCAAAACCCAGAAAAAGTTTCTAAGATCACAGGAGTCGATGTTCGGCTGATTAACAGATTTTCAACAATATTAACTGTTATTTCTAGTGGTCATGAAATCAATTATGATCGATTTGATGAGTATGCCAAAGAAACTGCTAAACTATATGTATAGTTCTATAATTGGTACCGTATGCCACCGAACATACATAAAATATTAATACATAGCTTTTTAGTAAGAAAATATGCTCTTGTCCCCATTGGACGATTATCTGAGGAAGCACTAGGAGTCACGGAATAAAGATTATAAGATGTATCGTGAACACCATGCAAGAAAATCGTCACGCCGAAATACGCGTGAACACAAACACAGACCTTTTCAACTTTCTTTTAATATCGTCTGATCCTACAATTACAGCATTAAGATCTCAGACTAAAGTACCATCGACTAAATTACCTTCAGCTGCCATTGAATTATTACATATTGAAAAGTCTGAAGCCAACGATCGAGATGAGTCTAATGGAGAGGAAGATGAAACAAGTAGTGACTCAGATTAATTTTAACTTTTAATTTTTTTAATCATAATAATATAGGATTAATATAATAGAATAATATAAACTGACTTTTGTTTTTTTTTCCTGCTCTTATATTTTTGGCCGGCTAAAACTTTGATTCCTCCCCCTGTGCGTCGTGAATACTGCAGCTTTAACTCTTTAAAGTAGATATAGCACTGTTGTAGGTGGGAATTTAAGAATATAATATATATATAACAAATATGTGTGTATAGGATAACAACTGTATACAACTACCTGAATTATTTCTAATGAAAAACGATTCTAAGCCGATAACTCGATTAGTTTTTTTTTTTTTAGTTCGTAGTAAAATCAATCGCTCAGAATCTAAAACCAAAGTTGTTTCCAACAGACACCGTTATTCGTTATTTCGTTAAATATTTCCGGTTTCTCGACTTTTTTTTTCTGTTATTCCTCAATTATACTAATTAGAAACGCACAAGAAAAAAAATAACCCTTCATCAATTAGACGAAATCCATTATCAGGGAGTGTCTTGGTCGTTGGCTTGTTCAAAGGCATACAAAAACACAAACACATTTATTTATGTTTCAACACATCGTAATAATATTATTGTGCAGGCTCAATTATCGGAATATTTCAATTTAATCTTTTTGTAATTTCCGTAAAGACGTTCATTACGAAAACAAAAAAAAAAAAAAATACATAATTAAACAATCATTGAAGAAGGGGGATGAAGATTTTTTTCCACCTTAACACATCATAATATTATAAGCAAAACCAATCGGAATCTAAACCTACTGTGATCTTTCTGTACAGGCTCTATGTAATATAATAACACATCGTATTGTAGTCGATATATTTTTTTTTTTTTTATTTTTGTAAATTATAATTCTTACGTCCTAAGTTTTGTAATAACACCAACACCGTCAATTTAATTTTATCATAGTATAATATGTAATATATTTAACTGTAAATGTATTGTGTTCATGATAAATTTCCGAAAATCAATTTTAAAACCAGTGTAATATAATATTGAAAACCGAACGATTACGTTAAAATACACAGGTACTTGGCATGGCATGTTATTTTTGTCGGAAATATTTGTATACAATAATCATAAAATAGGTATAATATTATATAATTGAAGAGTGGCAGGACTATAACGATTTCGTGCGATCCTTTATATTATTACATTACATAGAAATGAAAAATAACACGTATATAAGTATTAAGTAGGTACATTTTATTGTACCTACGTGTAGTTATCGACAATAATAATAAATATAGGTACCTGTAATATTTGAGTGAAGAGTATAATAATTTTTGTAAACGATGTTTATAAAATACCCGAGTAAAATATTATGTAATACATAAAAGGTTCGAACACGCGATTGATCTAGATATATATAAGTACGGTGTTTTATTTCGGGATAAACGGTAAAAAGCGATTTTTTTTTTTAGATAATTATAATTAGAGACCGCGCTGTAACGAAACCTGCAGAGCGCAGAGCATTTTTGCATGCGATATAGGATTTCGGAATTTTCAATAAAACTCGTGTATATATGTGTAAAAAAAACCATCCGTGAGCAACAGAGCTCCGTCATTCCAGAGTCGAATTTCCCCCCTCCGCCTATTTTGTATTTATAGAAATATTATTTTTATAAAAGACAATAAAATAACCGAATACTATACCCATCTAATATAATACTACAACACTGATTCTAAACTAATATTATGAATTCTAAACTCGCAGAAGGTAGGGACGGCCAAAAGTCCGAACTCCCGCAGAGCACATATTGATGATTCTAATGCCAAAAATATTCAAAAGTCCATAATCTATACAAAATAAAATATATAATGCAATAGTCTCAATAATTGAATTGAATTCCGTATTTAAAAAAATAATTTTGCGGATTTGAGAGAGAGTTTGTCTATTTCAAACTATAGTAGTTTGCTTTATTTTTTTTAGATTCTGAACAAAACAAAGAATGTCAATAAATTCCTCGTAGTTTTACTATAATATGATAATTTCTTATTATTTTTGGTGTTTATGTATAGTTTTTTTACCAGAAATTTTACTCTTACAACTGAAGCACCTTAAAAAAAATTATCTTATTTTTAAATTGTACGGAGTGGTCGTTTTTAATTTTTTTTTTTTGAAGTTTTTTAAATAATTGGGAAAAACTGGGAAGAAAACGAAAATGTTTTCGGTAGTAATATTTTACTGCGAACATAAATAGTTTCATTAATTTCGTTTTTTTTTTTTTTTTGTTCTTTTGTTTTTTTTTCGTTCGGTTAAATACGGATACGCGATATCTTTACAGATTACCTGTACGAGCTTTTCCTAGATATAGTAAAATTTTCAAAATATTCAGGCGGTTCTACAACAGTGATATATATCACTCTGGTCCCTTGGCCCTATTTGACCGCCCCCCGTGTTCTGCAACAGTGCGCAAGGGGCTCTCGAACTCGGACTATACGATATTTATCGACTTCATTCAGACGGTGTCGGAAGATTTGGTATTATATTATATATATAGGTGGTACATTACCCGTTTCCCACGGCTCCAGGGTTCATATAATATCTATGTGTGCGCGCGCGTATCTGCTGTAATTACAGGTATAACGTCATATAACGACATCGAGCACGTCGGTGGCGGCGACGGGGTTATAGAGCAATGTTTTTTTTTTTTTTTTTTTTATCCGTTTTTTTCTTCACTTTTTTTTTATTTTTATGGGCGTTATATAAAACGTACTAATGTTTGGGTGTACGTATAAGTACGAGCCGGTCGGTCGGGACCTATATGTATACATATATATATATATATAAAGCTGACCAAAAAATTGACGCCATTTACTTATAGGTATATGTAATATAGTATTAAGTATATCGAGAGACTCGAGACTATATCATCATCGTCGTCGTCGGTCGTCGTACGTTGTGTTATCCGTGATGTCTTATAAGGGTCGGTTCCACCCTCTGATCCCACCCCCGCCACACTTATACCTATATACCTATGTAACCGTTATATACGTATATATTATTTATGCTGTCTCCGGGATAGTACCGCGGCGGCGCAAACGTATCATTTGCGTTCGCTTGCCCCCAAACACTGCAACGATGTGTTATGAGGGCCGAGAAACGAAAGAAAAAAAAAAAGAAAAGAAGAAGCGGCTTTGTTTGATTTTGAATAAACAATAATAATACCACCTAATAATTAATAGTATAGAGACGGGCGCCGTCGTCGTCTTCAGTCGTATATACACACATTTCCTCTAATCTCAACGTTGGTCCCCCACACAACAGAAATTATATCATTCTCGCATGTACCTTTTAGATAATACAATAATAACAATAATAATATCATCTATACATAGACGATACGCCTTCTGGAATTCACCTGCACGTCTCGCTCCTATTAAGTGCGTTTTAACCACCGCGCTTCTGACCATCGCTACATTGCAACAGGTTATTATCGATGCCCCGATAAATATTACCATATTACCTACAATGCAAGCCCTATAAAAATATATTGGGTTTAAATTCTCGACACACACAGAAAAAAAAATCTTTTTCAATATATCCAGTATATATTATTCTTCGGGGGTGTTTTTTGGTAAAAATCTTTTTTACTTTCTTCATATTTACCAAAACCGCGATGAATAAGATACTACCAAAACTGCGATGATTAAGGTACTATACCGTTTAAAAAAAATTGATCCTCCACTTATAAAGAATCGTTAATTCAGTCAATTCATAATTATTGTATACTGGTATTTGTACACTGTTTTAGATCACGACACTATTATAATGGCATGAAAATCTGTTCCTATAGGGAAATGTAATTCCGTTTGTTTGGATATGTTTATATTTGCACGGGCCTATTAAGTTGGAATCCGATAATTTCTTCACTGACATCAGTTCATTATCATTGTTTGTCGTCGATCATTTAGCTGCGGCATTTTTTTTTTTTTTTTTTTTTTTTTTTTTGGATTTGATTGAAACCTATTTGTCAACTAGCATGGTGTAACTATCAAAGATGCGCGTTTTGGATTTCAACTTTTAAATTCAACCATTTGTATACTCAAAAAACAAAATTGTGAAAAATGTGATAAAACCCTAGCAACTGTTTCGGATCAACAATAAACAAATTTATAAAAAAAAGCTGATACTGGGGACGGAGTATATTGCTTTTTCAACAATGTGCGTTTTCATGACAACGACGATTGTTTAAAAAAGATTAAAAGATTAATATAATAAAAAAATAGATACAAACGATTGCAAATTATAACCTTCTTCATTTAATCTTCTTTAACTTAAAGAAGCAATTTTTCCTTATTATCTCGAATATTAATGAGAATATCAAAAAATTAACTTTCTAAAATACCAACTAGAGCCAAAATGCAACAAAAAAAGGTCTCTTGTAATGTTTTAATTGGAGCAAGATTTCTAGGAGAAAAGTTTTTTACAGAAAGAAAAAAAAATACACATCATTCTAAAACCAATAGATCCCTAGCTTCACTCAGAATCTAAAATTTTAAAAATGGAATATTTTAACAGCAACAAGTCAGCTGAACGGAAATTGAACTTTAGAGACGAAGTATTCTAGTATTCGGGGTGTTTTTTTTGTTTGTTAAGCATACTTGGTAGTTTTCATTTGTTTACTTTAAAAAATATTTTCGTGGTGAGAGAGACGTGGGGACAACCTCAGGTATGGCCTTGTATTACAGATTTTTGTAAAATATCAGTTTGGAAAATAAGGGATTGAATAAAGGGAGAAAAAAAGGAGTAAATATTATGGATTTTAAACTTCGAAAATAAAAATGTGGCCAAATGAACAGCAAAGAACTGTTTTATTAACTACATATCATTACACAATACTCGCATGTTTATATCCTACATGCTAAATGAATGTATTCATTTTTTATCATGTAAAATTATATTAGGTAGATACTTAATAAAAACTCACCCGACATTTTGCAGCGATATGTTATTATAGTTGAACGGCCGGATGCAGATTT